CTCAAGCGCCGTTGCAGTGGAAGATAATTGAATATGCCAGGTAGAACCAAAAACAACCTTGGGATTTATTAGCTGGAATGAGTTACGTCAAAATACTCACACATATGTAGTTGCAAAAAGTGTAGTATTTTAGTACCTATTATATTAAAGCGGTGATAATGGTAAGATATTTTTGTCCCCTAATACCAGACGTGCAGTTGAATACCACGTTAAATGAACTCATGCGTCTTCTATTTGTATGAAGCTTAGCCAGTAATCACTGAATGTAAGTAATGATCTTATCAACCTGTTGAGTGCAACAATAATTTGGAATATGCTACTGAACACCAAGGATGTACCGTGAATAGTGGGATTGTAAGTAATCTTGTCTTATGGAACCTGCATTATGGTTCCTCTTCATGATGGTATACTTTCCATTGTGCGACGGTATAAGGTTCAGTTGTGTGGCCTTTTAAAGAGTATAAAACTACCTGTGCTATGTAAGTCATGAGTCGTACAAACTATTCTTCACATTTGATATAGCTGGTGAGAAGCCACAAAACAACCTGCTTGCGCTTAAAATTTCCGACTTAGACTCCATTGTAGTCATGGTGGCTATCCTCATTCAAAACGAGACCAAACAAAATACCTTCTCAGTTTTGCACAGAAGGATTCCACACAAACCGTGAGCGATTTGTACTCTTGTAGAAAACTACCGTCTGTTACAGAGTGCTTTGGGTTGCAAAACATTCCAACTGATGACAGAAAAGCACGCGAATGTTTTTTCTTGTTTGGTTTGTTGATCTCAATTTATGTATGGGAATCAAAAGACCGCTTTCCAAACATCACAGAAATAGCTGTCCACTACGTGTAGGTGAGCAACTAAAAACAGCGTGTTTGGACGCAGCATCCAATGAAGAATGAAAAACACAAACTTGTGAACAGCAAGGGGTGAGTGTGATGCGAGAGATGCAACCTCCATCACGGATAGCAAGTCGAATGTTCTTGAAAAAACGAACTGATATAAATCTTAGAGGTCGGATAGCAGTTATAGTTCATTTAAATGCCTACAGTCTGTACGTTCATTGTCATGAATGTGAAGAAGCCACCACAAGTAGAGCAGCCAAGTTTGTTGGTGAACGGTGCCGATGTTCTAGTGGCACTAATTTATGTGTGAGAATGGGACAGAACTTAGTATTAGTGTGCAGCTGACCATGGAAGTCAATAGACACTGAATTAAATTTCTTACATAGGCCATCTACTCAACCTTCAAATAACTATCGCTGCCTTGTTTCATGAATATGTTTCATGAAACTAAGTACAGAAAGCACCTCCGTCTTACTTTGTCGACATCCGTTTAAGCAGATAATAATAAGGATGCGGTGGAAAGGATGTGCAAAATATCGCTAGACTTTTAGTGGTGAATAATGCATACTTTTGGACGCCTTACCAACCATCGCTACTGTGGATCATTGGTGAAATTGGAGCCACTCAGTGGTAGTGAACTACAAGGCTAACAATAAATAAATGACTAACTAACTAAATAAACGGTTGCTCACTGGACATGTGAGACACAGACAAAATACCATACTGATCAATTGGTACAACAAAGTTGGATAGTGGATGGATTTTTCATGATCTGGTAAGATTCATTATAGTGTTTGAGATGATCAATCGTTTAAAAGTAGTAAAATATGGAGAATTTGAGAGTAGGAATAGAACTTGTTATAGCCGTCATGTCAATTAAAGTAATATGACCATACATGGAACCGTCTCCCGGATAGCTGCACCCACACTTCATTTAGACATCTCATCTGGCCAGTGCTGTTGTGGTTTAGTGCAAGTAGCTAATGTATTTTTGCCTCGTTTTTTTCATGCTGGCTGATGTCAAATACAATTTTGTCATCATCATGGTGACATATTATGCATAAATATGTATAAATTTATGTGGGGACATGTTTGTAATATGTTAAGCTCACCTCATCACACAGCCATCATTTAGCTAATTCGACTCCAGCAGTTTCAATCTTCGCCAATGCGTTCATAACAACGTGCGTTTCATGAGTGTACTGCATTTTGGGAAGCATTTATCCATCACCTCCGGGGATCGGCTCAGTCGTGGCCAACAGTGGTAGAGGAGCAAAAAACAAACAGAAATGGGATAAAGGAACAGTAATGAGAAGATGATCAGCTTTGGTCCGAAGTTGACCGATACAGATTATACAAATTATCAATGGAAACATAAACCCTCATAAAGGTACATGTATTTTAAAAGGAATTTTCAGAGAAAACGATTTGGATGACTCCAACGGTTGTAGGAGATAAAATCCAACCGGATAAAAATTGCAGCGTGTACTGTGTGCTTGCACCGCTCATATTGTAATCAGAATTCAGAGTGTTGCCAAGCAAAATCCAACCGAGCTTCTTGTACATCAGACTTAGTCTTCCGTCATTGAACAGGTTGTGTGTAGATACCTTGAACTTGAGAACAGTTTGAAACATTTGGATTTACTTAGAAATGTAACTGGAGCAATATGGTGGGGCAACCTGATAGTATCAGGAATATTTATTATCTATTGTTAAAAACATGACAAGTATTATATATATATATATATATATATATATATATATATATATTGGTGATCGGGTTTGGATAAGACATATGATGCGCCATTCGTGCGGTATCACAATCAACCCGCACTTCCTGTTATCAATGCGTAATGCTTTTATCTGCCAATGTTCTTTATCGTATCGTGTTATTTTGTGGACGTGTGCTTCGATTTCCAAAGAGCGTGACCCCTAAGTGGGATCTAATTGGCTCCTTAAATTTTATAGATACACACAGTACTGGCCGATTGCATAATCCGTGGTAATACATGTGCCCAAAATCGATCTGTTGCTTTGCTCACTAAAATACATTAGTATTAGCTGGAAAAATGATCAAGTTAATTAAATACTCCATCTAGGTCGTGGGATACCATACCTACCAAATAGCCGTGATGGTCGGCATTAAGCACGCATGCAATTGTATTCACCACCATTAATATGCTAAATTTACTGACAGCACAAACTACTCTATCACAGTGTTAGCATACAAATCAATGTTACCGCTACCTCTGCCAGCGGCAACAACCGATGCTGTTTCCTTACGAACAGCATGACAAGCAAGTGGTGTTGGATTACCAATCGGTTTCAGAACAATGCTGTGTCCGGTCTTTTTACCTGCTTATCCCAGCGTAAATTTAACAGCAACGTATCAGGTGGGAAGTCAATTTAAGTCAAATAAGCTTTGATTAACTAATGGGGCCTTTTGGACAATTTACAAAATCAACCATAAATAAAGTAAACAACATTAATAAATATGCACAATATCGAAAAACTGAAAAAAAGAAAATTAAATATAGAGCGCCGTGTTTACGTGAGCACACCGTCCTGCATCTTTGCGAAACAAAGGTTTTTTTTATTGCAGGGAATTATCAGGTTTCTTATGCGGTTGACACTGCAAGGTTTTAGTGAAGATTATCTCGACAATCCGTTTTGTTTTGTCAAAAGTTACCAAGTGTTAAATTTTCAAATCATCCTGGCGCATTTCTTCAAGGAATCGTAGTAGTCTGACGGTCTTAACAACCTTGTAAGTAGTTTGGCCAAGGAAACCTTCAGCTTATTCCAAAAAATAGATATGCGCACAGTAGACTGAGTAACAAAATTCCGTGAAAACGACCACGGACAATATAAAGACGTGCCTTGGTACTAAACAGTGCGATTCACTTGAGAATCTTTTTGAACTTGGTCCATTTGTCTTGTCATATTTCTGAAAATGACTAGGGAAATAACTGAAACCAAGTGGATGGTCGTCCTATTCCTGGCGGCTATGGGTGCAAGTGCCCTGTTCGCCGTTCCCTCTCGACTGACTGCGTTACTCGATGTGTCTCGTAACTATCACTATGGTCAATCTGAAGAAATCACCAGCGTCGCTTAAGTGTTTCCATGTCCTGAAGTTACGGAGGGAACTGACAGGCTGCGACTAACACCCACATGGAATTCTCCAGCACTCACCGGTGTCGAGCCGCATGCCGGAATCCACACGCTCTTCTAACGTGTCCACTAGCGTACAGTGGAGATGACGTAGTAAGTGGTGCAGGACGCCAAGTAATTGGTCGCCATACACATCTGCCTTCTTGTCCCAACGAGTCTGGAGTACGAGGAGAACAACGGAAGTCCAGATGTTTAACCAGTGACTATTTGCGACTGATAAATTATTGCTTAAAAACGTATAGAACCGGCTTCATTGGACTTATCACGGTATATTCAGTGGCAGAATAAGGGTTTAAAACTGTGCCTTGCAAAACTGGTTTGAACAATGAATTGCACTACATCTGGTGTGTAGTGCCCAGTAAGTGTTTGTCTATCGAGACAGCAGGCGACCTGTGCCAGCACGGACTTGGAGGAGCGATTTCAAGTTGCACCCAATTTAACATATGCTTTTCATTACGAAATAGGCGTCCTTTCAGTTCTGCTTACGCAATCAAACTAGTAATCATGTACTTATTGTATGATTATAGACTCGACTACAAATAGCGAAGTTTAGTTCATTCAATGTAACAGTTGATTTGAGGTTTCGTTAAGAATAGTATTTAGTCAGTCGTGATCAATTTGCTTGGTAGTAGGGACAATACATGGAATTACTATCGAAAGGCGAACCATTGTGAAACATTTTCGATGAACCTTTGCATGACTTGCGACATCACTGAGAGACGGTTGTTCAGATTCAGATTCAGATGGACTGGAACGATAGGAAAATCCCTTGAGTGTTCTTTCTTGAGCAAATCGTTGAGCCAGGAAATGATAAGGTGTTAGTTCTTGATAGATCTAAAACGAAACACCCGAAACACACCCTGATCAACCAACTACTGCCCACGTTCCCTGCACTAGCAGTCCGCGCTGTGTAGGTTACGTGAAGTAAGAAAGAAGTAGAAAGTAAATGAAAAGATAAAGGGGAATGAAAGTCATTAAAATGAAGGATAACACCAAAGAGTGAAGATAATGACAGAATAAGAACTGAAAGTTTGAAGATGGATATGGTCAGGAGAAGGGAAAGGTTTCGTGTTGCCACCCAAGAGCGTCTAACTGAAGCTCGAAACCCTTAACCGTAGGTTCACTGACTACATTTTCTGGAAGCGAGTTCCAGCGCTCGATAACTCTACGCGATAACCGAGTTTCCGCCCTGATCCCGTCAGAACGCGGCTTGTGTAGCTTCATGGGATGACCGCGAAGACAAGGCAACCTAGCCGGGCTAAACAGCCAGCGCAAGTCCGGCCCAACCTTCCCGGTTAAAATGCGGTAAGTAAGGATTAGGTCTCCTCGAAGCCGTCGGTAGTGCATTGAATACATACCCAAGCTAAGTAGACGCTCGGGGTACGATTGCACCCGTAACCCCTCGACCAATTTGGTACCTACTCTCAAAACCCTCTCAAACTCCATTTTGTCCCGAACAAGGCAGGGCGCGCAAGCCTGTACGCAGTATTCCAGATGGGGCCGAACGAAAGCTGAGAATAGCTTCACAAATATGTCGGCAGTTAAGACCCCGAAAGAACGGCGTATTAACCATAACATTCTGAAACCCCTACTAGCGGCCTTCTTCCAGTTGTCACCAGAATACAAAGACGAGGAATGAACGACACCTAGATCTATCTGGTTGGAGACAAGGGGGAGTTCGACCCCACAGAGTACGTAGCTCGAAGGCGGGAAAGTTGCTCCTATACGAAGGACGGAACACTTAGCCTGATTTATGGGCAGTAGCCACAAAGTAGACCAGTCCCAGAGTCTGTCCAGTGCACGCTGTATGGCCTCAGAACCCCCAGGAACATTTACAACATTCCATAGCTTAAGGTCATCAGCAAACAATAAGGATGATACCCCAAGCTCTCCAGGGAGATCGTTTACGTAGATAGAGAACAGCATCGGTCCAAGGACAGAGCCCTGTGGGACACCGCTAAGGACCGCTTGCTTAAAGGATAAGCTGCGACCCACACGTACACACTGCTCTCTTCCCAGCAAAAACGCAGATACCCAGTGAAGGGCGCGGCCAGATACGCCGTAGGACCTCAGCTTATGCGATAGCCTCAAGTGGGGTACCTTATCAAATGCTTTCGAGAAGTCTACGAAAAGCACATCCACTACGTGGCCATTGTCCACTGCCTCGGCCCAAGCTTCACGAGCAACCAACGAATTCGTCAAACACGAAAACCCCTTCCGGAATCCATGTTGTGCACTGCTGAGCAGATTAAATCTATTCAGGTGACATTCCAACGAATCTCTCACCAGCTTTTCAAGCAGTTTGACCACGACGCTAGTCAGACTAACTGGCCTATAATTGGCTGACAGACTCCTGTCGCCATTTTTGAAGATAGGACAGATGACAGCCTCCTTCCATTCGGAAGGTAATGTACAGGTGTCAAGTGATTTCTGAAACACCATCGTCAGCGGTCCACTTAGTTCCCCCGCCAACTCATGCAGAAGTTTCGGGTGAATTGAATCAGGTCCAGCTGCTTTGGAAGGGTACAGTTCTTGCAGCAGTTTAAGGACTTGCGTTTCCCCCACAGTAAACTCAGCTAAATAAGAACCATCAGGTACTCTGGGGACAAATTCAACGCTAGTCAACGCGGCCTCACGTACAAAAGCCCCTGCATACTGTTCCCCAAGTACACGAGCCTTATCTGAGTCCGCATACGCACGAGTTCCATCGGCCCTCATCAAAGTTGGGATTACCGAAGTTGAACCACAGCGTCTCTTAACATAAGCGAAGAACTTCTTCGGATTTTCCGAAGCTCCGTCAGCCAATTCCTTTTCGTACACCAGCCGAGCTTTCCTTAAGTGTTGTTTACACCTATTTCTAGCCTCGCGGTACCTAGCATAGGTGCTAGTTGATGGCGCCGCACGGTAGGTCCTCCAGCATCTAGAACGCTTCTGGAGCAGGTGCTTGCCAGTGGTATCTATCCACGGCGGCCGCGCCCGTGTCTCCTTTCTCCTCGCAAGCGGGATGTAGGGAGTAGACACTTCCGTGAGATAAGATTTAAATTTATCCCAGGCCGCCTGAACCGTATCAACCACCGAGATTTCACAACGCATCCCAGCAGCCTTGGTACGCATTGCCTGATAGTTAGCACGCCATATGTTTGGAAATGGCTTAGCAATGCTCTGGTGACGCCTGGTCAGACTACACCTGAACGATAAACAAACATGATCACTAGCACCTAAGGGAGAGCCGTAATTGATGTCCCTTACGAAGTCTAGTGACTTGGCAAACACTAGATCCAAAATAGACGGGAGTTGGGCGTCCATGTACCTAGTGGGGAGGTCCACGAACTGATACAATGGTACTTGTAGCGTAAGCTCAAGTAGATCTGCCCCGAAAGTACCTTCTGCCGAGTTGCAAGAAAGATCCGCCCAGCAAACTTCTGGTAGGTTGAAATCCCCCAGTATCAAACACCTGTTTGCGGATTGGGAGCGAATAAAGTCAATCTAAGCGTTTGCAAAGACAAATGTTCACCATAGGTGAGGCTTTAACTTTAGTTCAAATACGCGACAATTGGAGGAGCATATCCGTCTGGCACGACGAGCCAAGTTGATTCCAAATTATACGTTGTCCCGCGCTGGAGAGGTATAAGTACTGATTAGACCAAAATACTTTTCCTTCTGTGTAATTCTTTTTTTCTTCGTGTGTTGGATGAGGCGGGTCAAATACTGCACAGGATTTTTAAATACAAAAGCATAACTTAACTGCCGGGTCAGTTGCTGCGTTGTTGAAATGCCTACCAATTGCGTGATGTTATGCTACATAGAATAAAAGGCTAGGTTTTGGCGCGTTCGAGATGCATGCATCGACCAGCCGGCCTCCTCCCACTGTGCTTGAAACGATAGTGATGGACTGATTGTCCTACTTATCTCACATAAAAATACTTGCTGAACCTAACATGCTATTTCCTCTAGACGAGAGTTGGATCTGTTCCCAGATTAGAGCGATTCAGATTAAGCAAGCATGCGTTCGCGTTCGGCCAATTGATTCAACATGAATTCCTCATTCATTACCTATGAATAAGAAGACTGATACGACCACAGAGCATTGACTTCGATGATTCGAAGAAACTTCACTGTAAAAGAGTGGGACAAAACAATTGGGGACTACTCCACAGCATATAATGACAGGATAAATATGAAGTTGTGGTTACGACAGAAATTATTTGGTCTCGACTGATTGCTTCGTTGCTGTCTATATTCTTCAATAGGCGAGTGAATGAAAGGTTTTGCGTGTGGCACAGAAATCTTAGGGATGGACAAATCAAACAATATTTTTTATAATCTACCACTTACTTTATCATTACAAATTATGGTTGAATGGATTGGGGTTGTGCATTTTGATGCAACTAGAGAGATTGGAGCATCGTTCAGTGATCAAATATCTCTATCCCAAAAGAATATTGCCATCTGAAATCCAGCAAGGTATACGCGATGTTTTACATTACAGTGCTCCTTCATGTGCCACAAATAGATGTTGGGTGCAAGAATTCAAGCACTGCAGGGAGCGCTTTAAAAGTGATCCAGGTCAGAGCAACAATCAACCACCACCATCAAAGAAAACATTGACGTGAAAGTGGATAAGATCATGTAAGATTGCCGATTAATTACTCGTCAAATATCAGATGAGTTGGTGATTTCCCAAAAGCATGCAGATAATATTCTGATTGGGAGTTAGGCTACTCAAACACTTATGCTTGATGGGTGTTGGATCTACTTCCTCCTGAGAAGAAGCGCATTCGGCATTTAATGTCGAAGAAAAAGCTATAACTGTTTGAGGCAGATGCCGCCAATTTTCGCACACTTTTCATCACTACGAATGAGTGCTGGGTCCAATACGCTTAGTCAGAAAACGGAACAGTCACACCAACGGAAGCGTGATTCATCTACCCCAATAACACCAAGGTTACGACGTCAGCTGGTAAGGTGTTGCCATCTGTTTTTTGCTATTCTTGAGGCACAGTGATCATTGACTTCCATGAAAGAAGTCATACCATTGCCGGTACGTATTAATATGCCTCTGGTAATTTTCAGAGAAAATATTTAAGATTACTGGTCGGGAAAGGTGATAAGAGGAGTCCTTTCTTGCAGTACGAATGCTCCAGCTCGCACCACTTCGCTTGCTCAGAAATCAATCCATGGTTGTTGCTTCCAGCCTCCTCCTTACCGACCCAATTCACCAGTTCTGACCCCAATGAGTTTTACCTATTCGCAAGCTTGAAAAAACTTAGCTGATCAACAATTTTAGGTAACAGTGACTTCAGTGAGGCTGTGAGCGAAGTTTTATAGGCGCAATCCCCAGTGTTCTTTTCCACAGAGATAAAGGGGCTCCAGCCCTTCTGGGCCAAGTGTGATGCTCCTGACTTGGACAAGCTGAACAATATAATCACTGGAGATTCTGTACCTTGTTTGGCATTTTTGAGGTTTAACCTGTTTCCGTAACCCTAAGCATTGCGAAACAAATCCAGGGATCGCTTTTTGGTCTGGGCTAAGCCGAACAGATTGGGTCCACTTAACAAAAGCCGGCCCTTAAAATGAAGTAGAATAATTCAAGAAGTGTTCTTGTATTTTGGTGTCACTAAATAAATTTTGTTCTTGGAAGTAGCCCTAGCTGACAGACATTTAATATAAAAATCTTGCCGCAATCTGGATCAATTTTGTAACTCTGTAAGCGATTATCCATAATCATGTAATTAAACTGGACTACTTTGTTGGCTGTCTGGACCAAAATAGATACCCTGGTCTTGGGAGTTTCCATCGCATGTCAACCGCTACACCCCACGCCTTCGGTAAAGGAACTAGGTGTACTGTCGCATTGCGACTTAAAGTCCGTGGATAATGGACTGCCCATGCTTTGGGCGAGCAAATGCGGCTTTTGTACTTGGTCAGAACGGTTCGCCACCTGCCTCATTTATTCCATCATAAGACCAGTATTTCAGTTGGACTAACTGCCTACTGTTAACCACTAGAGACAAAGCAAATAATATCATCATCATCATCATCATCATCATCATCATCATCATCATCATCATCATCATCATCATCATCATCATCATCATCATCATCATCATCATCATCATCATCATCATCATCATCATCATCATCATCATCATCATCATCATCATCATCATCATCATCATCATCATCATCATCATCATCATCATCATCATCATCATCATCATCATCATCATCATCATCATCATCATCATCATCATCATCATCATCATCATCATCATCATCATCATCATCATCATCATCATCATCATCATCATCATCATCATCATCATCATCATCATCATCATCATCATCATAATCATCATCATCATCATCATCATCATCATCATCATCATCATCATCATCATCATCATCATCATCATCATCATCATCATCATCATCATCATCATCATCATCATCATCATCATCATCATCATCATCATCATCATCATCATCATCATCCTCCTCCTCCTCCTCCTCCTCCTCCTCCTCCTCCTCATCATCATCATCATCATCATCATCATCATCATCATCATCGTCATCATCATCATCATCATCATCATCATCATCATCATCATCATCATCATCATCATCATCATCATCATCATCATCATCATCATCATCATCATCATCATCATCATCATCATCATCATCATCATCATCATCATCATCATCATCATCATCATCATCATCATCATCATCATCATCATCATCATCATCATCATCATCATCATCATCATCATCATCATCATCATCATCAGCATCATCATCAACATCAGTGCATCAGCCATTTGAACTGATGCTTCGCTGCCATACAACCATGAGGACCTATGAAATAAAGAATAAGAGGGAGAGAAGGGGGACTTACCTGAAAAACCTTAATGCCTTAAGCAAACATTCAGGGTCAAGGCGCCTACATCTTGTGTTAACAACATACCGTCACAAACAGCTGGCTATCGTGCAAAGATATGGCGGCATCGGCGAGACAGCTTCCTTGCGGCTTTCACTGCCACGCGTCATAATCAGCCATTACCCCGCAGATAACTCAGCACCAAACACACTTTAAACAGACAATCCGATTAGGAGACGGCAGCAGACGCACCACTGGTGTCGGTTGCGAGCCTGTAAAGTCTCGAGCAAAGCACAAGGTGAGTCACGTGGACTCTAACCCGGAAGGCGAGACGGACCAACGGCACCCAGTTTGGTCGTCAGTGACTTCATTTCCCGCTGCCAAGTCAACATCTGTCCACCTCGAGCCTTGCGCCATCCCACACCTGGTAGACTGAACAAGACCCTCCTAGGTAAGCGGTGACCAGGCATGCGTAGCACGTGCCCGAGCCAACGTAACTTATTCAGTGCTATCTGTTGTTCTAGGGAGCTAGCATGATCATCACCCCCTAGTACTCGCCTACGCACATCATCGTTGCGGACACGCTGGTGCCATCCGACACCAGCAATGCTTCGCAAACAACGATGATTAAAGACTTGAAGGCGCCTCAGATCTTCAGACCGAAGGGGCCAAGTCTCACTACCATAGAGCAGAACGGCCCTCACTGTGGCCTTGTATACACGGCCTTTCAGACGGAGGGAAACTCCCTTCTGTCGCCAAAGATGACGCAGGTTCAAGAAGGCAGCTCTGGCCTTTGCAATGCGTGAGCTAACGTCAGTTTCTATGCGCCCATCATTGCTGATGCAGCTGCCAAGATAAGTGAATTGATCAACCACATCGAGTTCCTCGTTAGCAAGCGTCAAGGGGTCATCGAGTGGCTGGTGGTCCTGCAGCAACACTTTGCACTTTGAAGGTGCGAAGTGCATACCGAATAATGGGACCACTCTGGATAGGCTATTTAGGGTTGATTGTGCCGCCTCAACATTGTCGAAAAGCAAGACGATATCGTCCGCATAATCTAGATCAACTAACCGTTCACCAGGCAGCACTTCAACACCTACATCGTGAGATTCCGCAAGGGAACACTCCATGATAGAATCCACGACGAAATTGAACAAAAATGGGGAAATCGGGCAACCCTGTCGAACGCCACTTGTAGTCGAAAAGCTATCCGATAGGGCACCATAGACCC